CAGCAGCAGCAGCAGCAGCAGCTGCTGCAGCAGCAGCAGCTTGCTGCAGGCTAGACGGCCCCCAAATACCCTTCTCATTTCAACGGGGAGACGAAATATAAGAAGAAAGAAACAGAAAAAAGAAGCTGCATATACACCCCAACAACACACACAACATATCCTACTCTCAGCTGTACGTACACCGCGAGGGGAACCCCCCGTCAGCTGCAGCTGCAGCAGCAGCAGCAGCAGCAGCAGCAGCAGTAGCAGCAGCAGTAGCAGCAACAGCAGTAGCAGCACCAGCTGCAGCAGCAGTAGCAGCAGCAGCAACAGCTGTGGCGGCAGCAGTAACGGCAGCAGGAGCAGTAGCAGCAGCAGTAAGGGCAACAGCAGCAGCAGCAGTTAGCAGCAGCTGCAGCAACAGCAGCAGCAACAGCAGCGGCAGTAGCAACAGCAGCAACAACAGCAGCAGCAGCAGCAACAGCAGCAGCAGCAGCAGCTAACCAGGGGGGAGGTGCAGATACACCCGAAGCTGCCTCTGAGGCTGCTGCTCAGGTGTATGTACAGCGCGTGCACATCACCCAGCAAGAGAAGAATATATATAAATATATCTAAATATATAAATATATATATAAATATATATCTGTAGCTGCCTATACACCCCAGAAGGAGACTGCTGCCAGCTGTCTGTACACCGCAGCTGGCCAGGGGCGAGAGAAGAAAGAGAAAAAGAAAAAGAAAAAAAGAGAAAAAGTTTAGTTGTTTTCTCTTTTTTGTATATACTTTGACTCAATAAATTAAAAAAGAAGAAATAATTAACTCCTTCTTACACTCAACTGCAGCAACAGCTGCAGCAGCAGCAGCAGCAGCAACACCAGCAGCAGCAGCAGCAGCAACAGCAGCAGCAGCAGCAGAAAGGGGAGCGGGGCGTCAGCTGTAGCTCTCTTAGTTTGTACTATAGACAAAAAAAAAGAAAAAACAAACAAATTGTTTGTTTTATATAAAGATAAAATAAATAAGAGAAATAAAAGAGACAAAAGGAGACAAAAGGAGACAAAAGGAGACAAAAGGAGACAGCTGAGCTGCCCGCTGGTCAGCTGCAGCTTGCGTGAGGGTTTAGGGTTTAGGGTTTAGGGTTTAGGGTTTAGGGTTTATGTATAGTTTTTCGGTTTCTTTGTCTCTTATACTAGCATATATATACATGATACAACCTAGACCCTAAACCCTAGACCCTAGACTCTAGGGTTTAGGGTTTAGGGTTTAGGGTTTAGGGTTTAGGGACCGCTGGTCGGTTGGCTGCGGCCTGTGCTTGCGGTGGTGGTGTGTATGTGTTTTTTTCTTTTTGTGTGAGTAAAAATAAATTAAATTTATATTTATAAATTAAATTAATTAATATTTATTT